TTTTTTTTAAATTCATTTTTTTTCCTATAACTTCTATTTTACAAAATTTGTTTTATATATTTTTTTTTAAATTCTATTTTTTTCCTATAACTTCTTAAGCCATTATACAACATTAAATTAAATTAAGTAACATGAAACAACATTAAACAATATGAAAAAACATTAAATAACATTAATCAACATAAAAATTATACAACATAAATTTAAGTTGCTGTAGTTTTTAAATTTAAATAATAAATTATGTTTGATCCTATGATCCTTTAGCCTTCGGTTGAAAACGATTTTTTGTGATAGGGTTAAAACGAGCCCTATAGTCCTTTGGTCCTCGGTTGGAGATGAAGGCAAATATGGTCATGTAGTGTACATTACAATATTAATATCTTGAAGGATAAAAGGCTAAAACGAGTTCTCTGACCAACCATAGTTGGAGATGGCCCGAGTTTAAAAACGTAAACCAATAAATGCCAAATTGCCTATTTTCCAAACGATGCCGTTTCTTATTCGCCACCGAGTCTCTCTCAGATCTTTCCTTATCCAGTGAACATTTCTGGACTTCTCCAGAACTGTCTGCTTCTGAATGCGTCTTCCTCCTTCCATCTTGTTCCAGAAATGTCTACACTTTCCTTTAAATATTGGAAAACCTGGACGCTCTCCTCAAGTTTCATTCCATTCCCTTCACTTTCTTATCTAGATTTCTTAACTACCAAACAGGTCCCTACAACTCCATTAATATCTTGACCAATAAACGAAACCCAACATTTGAGAGTACCAAAATGTCTCAGGCCGTATCCAATGTCAGCCCCTTTTTCCCACTGTCATCTGTGAAAACCAAAAATGTGCGATACCCTGTTTTCTCAAAACCAATTAATGGTGGCGGATGTTTTAGCCACAGTAGTAAGAACAGCCTTAAGGCCATGGCAGGAGATGCAAGAGACAACCTTGACCACTTGCAGAGGGCCACCAAGCTCCAACAACAGCAGGCCCAGCCTAGAAAGAGAGCTGCCCCAGCGCCGCCCATCGGTAAGTTCGAATTCCCACTTCAAAGTTTTAACTTTGAAGCTTTAGGACTGCTTGGGTTGTTCCTAAGCGCTTCTGCTAGTAATGTTTTCATTGGAAACACGTTGAGTCAAATTCTTTTTGGTCAAATTCTTTTTGGTGACCCTTTTAGCACTTTCAGAAACACGGTCTCAAACATGTCCTAGATTTGAATAGTTTAAGAAACAAAATTGAAATTTGGCAGGGTTGTGGGACCGGTTTCCAACGGCCAAGACGGTGCAGCAGATGATGGAGACGATGGAGGGTCTGATGGAGGACCCGTTTGCCTACTCCGGCGGGTACAGGACTCCAGTCCCGAGCGAGACGGGCGGGTACAGCAGGGGAAGGACGCCGTGGGAGATCAAAGAAGGTGAGGATGCTTACAAGATGAGATTCGACATGCCCGGGATGACAAAAGAGGACGTGAAGGTGTGGGTGGAGGAGAAAATGCTGGTTGTGAAGGCCGAGAAGGCTGTCAAGAAGACGCAAAATGGGGCGGTGGTGGAAGAAAATGGGGAGGAGTGGTCAGCCAAGAGCTATGGAAGGTACAGCAGTAGAATAGCGTTGCCGGAGAATATTCAGTTTGAGAAGATTAAAGCTGAGGTTAAAGATGGGGTCTTATACATTACTATTCCAAAGGCGTCCATGACTTCCAAGATTTTGAACATCAACGTTTGTTGAGTGATGCCATGCATGGCCTCTTTCTTTTCCTTGTTCAAAGGCTTCCATGACTTTCCGGTTAATTGAGATCGCTTGTTCATAGGGATTTTGAGCATTTCGAAGAGCAGTGCTATTCATATTATGTTTTTATAATATATTTTTATATTATTTTAGATAGTATTTGATATAGATAGTTATATCATTTAAATTAGTTATCGTATATCATAATTATTATTTAATTAATTAATTTTTTTTAATTATTAATTTATTAAATAATAAATTAAATTTAAAAATCTGATTAATTCAAATAATAAGATTGTTCACGTTAAATATCATTTAAAATAGTATGAAAATATAATATAAAAATATGATATGAATAATATTACTTTTCCAATACGCTGGATGCTTTTCCAGTTAAATGACCTCGAACTTCTTGAACCTGAAACAAAGCTTAAGTATATTGCATTCCTTAAAATGACGTCATGTGACCGAAGAATTTCTTATAACTAATATAAGACTGAACATGTCCACTCATTGCTGTTTGTGAAATCAGTACCAACAAGCAGACTAGATGACTGTAGGCCAGCTTGTGCAAGAGCAGACCAGGTCAATTAATGTTCGGGGGAATTAACCGCAAATAGAACAGGTTACAAATTTATAGTAAAAAACAGAATTGAAGGGGTACTGTTTGGGAAAATTTCGTAAATAGAATTAGTTACAAACTTTTAATGAAAAACAGAACTGAAGGGATACTGAACAAACAAAAGATACTAAACCACCGTTGTATAGGAACATGATATACTAAACCGTTGTTTATATACGAATATGTTGAAGCAGGGAAGAACAAAACCCTCGTCCAAAGAACGGTAATTATCAGCTGTCCTTTGAATAATTTTATGGGATCGGACACAGGATCTGTGGGCACCTCTTCAGCACTTTCACCAAGAAAAGAATGTCTTTGAAAAATGGAGGCAGATCCACTTGTCCTTCAGGAATTTCCAGGCGAAGCGAAAGGCTTTACGTTTGAGAAATTGCGATGCATAAACATACCATGCTCAGCTGCAACCGAGTAAAGGCCATGGACAAACACACTATTTGGGTTCTCACAACCTGTATTGGAAGACCCTGAAGTTCAGCGACGCGTTTTGTTCATTTTACAACCATGGAATCTGAAACTAAATTAAAATCCACAAAACTAATTCTACATAATAAAACTAGATGCAACTGGAGAAATCGTATGTACTTAAAAAATCATCAATATTCGGAAATTATAAGAGCTGCAAAGCAAAGAAATTGACCTAAAAGGGAGAACTTTTAGAAATGGTTTCACCTATCCTTTCACCGCTAGGTCATGAAAAAACTGTTGTCCACTTGTCCCGATGCCAGAGGAGGTTGCTACAGTACTTGATGTGAGGAAAGACGATCATCATCATCATAAGTTTCAAAATTGACAATGTTTTATAACAAGCAAAAGCGCAAGTTTGAAAATTGAAATTAACATCGATCTTAAACTAGTTATCTATGATTCTATGGTGCAGTTTGTTTGTAGTCTTGCAAGCATCCCAAGAAATTAAGGAGCGGAAGAGATTAGGATCGAAGAATTCGTGTTAACCTTTACTGGCAGTCGATACCATGTTTCTTCTCTGTTGTTTCTCTAGGTTTAGGGTTTAGGGTTTTGGGGTTCGGGTATACCACAACAAAGTTTCAGAAAACTTTCATAAAAACCCGTACGAATTCCTTTATAAATTCATTCCTCAGAAAGTAACATATATCATCTAATTAACAAATAGCCAGCAACTCAGCTGGTTGAAAAATTAAAAGCGTTGATCTGCCGCATCACGGTAAAATCTTGAGCACTTTGTAGTGTTGAAATCACTCACAGGTGTTCCATTAGTATTAAACCTAATGTTGATCAGTTTCACTTCCTGAAAAGCAAGCAGCACGTCGATCATGTAAACTCCGGCCGTGGCCTCAGACCTAAACTTGGAAGTTGTCTCATCAGCTTTCCTCAAACAACAGCAATTTCATGTACCCTTGAACAAGTACGTTCTGCAAAACGGTGGTGTTCTTGAGGCCTTGGTGACATCGTGTGGAACTATTGACCAAAGTCACCAGAGCAAACCTCTTGTCTTGATAGTATGCAATGACTTGGATGCCAAGGTACTCGAGGCCGGAGCGTTTGTTGGGATTTCTAATGGAGATGTTGAGGGCAAGGTTGTAGGCGAGCGTGTAATTGGATTTGGTGTAACTGAATTGGGCAAGAGAAGCATCGTCGACGGTGAATTCCGGTGCTCTGCCGGAGGGGGAGATATGTTTGAACTCAATGGTATGTAGGAATAAGACAAGCTTATAAAACAGAACAAGTGAGGTAATATCCGGTCGCGATCGGCGCCGGGTTTAGACTTTTCAGTTGTATACATGGTTGAGGAAAAACGATCGCAAAGAATAGCCCAAGAAAAATCAGCAAAAGGAGAAATAGAAGTTAAACCACTTCTTAATTTGTTAGAAATCCGCATAAATGTAATCCACGTATTTGTACGATGCTAATTATTATGATCTTACGAATTTTTTTTAAAATTTTTTTAGGCTTAAATGTCAAAATAACCCTTGTCTTTACATGTTTGATTAATTTAGTCCTCGTGTTTTCAATCTGGTTGATTTAGTCCTTATGTTTTAAACCATTAGCCAATTTGATCAATTCTGTTAATTTACTGTTAAATATTTCATTTTAAATTATTAAAAAACCTATTTATTTAAGAAATATGAAAACTCAATGTAAAACTAAAAAATAAAGTAAAATAAAAGTTCAGATTAAAAACTCAAGGCAACATCTCCAACCACGAACGTGCAGTGGAGGAGGGAGATCCACAGCAGGGGAAGGGCTGTAGATCGATGCTACGAAGGTGGTGGATGCGGAGATGACTCAAATTAGGGTTGTATGGGATTAACACTGGTGCATGGGAGTGGATAGCAACACAACGTCGATGTATCGTTAGAGAAATGACGCAGAATTCGATGGTAGGTCAGAGACCGTGGGGGTCAAATTTTTTCAGAAAGAGATTGGATGGGTGGTTATGGGGCTATCCATGGTGGTTGTTGGCTTTGGATGGATTCGATGATGGTGGTGGTGGCTGAGATTATAGGAAAAGTAGTAGACGTCTTTTATAGTTTTTTTAATTTTTTAATTTTATTCTTTTTTTTAATCAATTTGAAACATGGAAAAAGAAGCACATTGACTAACTAAGTTAAAAACAAGGATTAAATTGACAGAATTGAAAACACAGGGACCATGTTGGTAGGAAGGCTAAAACACAAGGATCATTTAACATTTAAGTGCTCTTTTATTACAAACAATACTATGTACTAAACTACATTAAGGAAAAGGGGAGAGTTTGAACCCAAAGTAAATTAGAAAGGAAGACAATATCCATTAGGGCAATCTACCACTTGCATCTTAATATCCGGTTTAGCCCGCAATTAGGTTCTTTTACGTGTATCAGCGCGAATTTCCAAAGAACCAACTTGTTGCGAGTACGTTTACTTAAGAATGCCAGATATAAGTGTGGAATAGGCTAAATAAATGTATACTGGCAAAGACATAATTCTGTTTAATTGACATAGAGATCTATGACCAAAACCCTGTGTAGAATCCTAAACGACCTTTCGTGAAAGGAGCATGCAGCGGAGTGAGCATTAACTCTCAAAGAGTCTGTGGCCTCTGCACCATATCAAGCAAATGCCTCTGCCACCTTCAGCTCTTTACCCTGTTAGAAGGAAGGAACCATTAATTAGGCATGTAAAGTGATTGGTAATCGTTGTTTTCGCTATGTGAGGGGGAATGGGATTGATCCGGGAAGCCTTAGGTTCGAATGTTGCCTGACAGTAACAAGAAAGCCTTTCGACAACTACAGTTGAGAAACCAAAAACTTAGCAATTGTATCATGTGCATATGACTCACTTTCCCTGTTCTTCGGTTTTTCCTTCTGATTCTTCAGACTCGGATAAGTTTAGTGTTGTCAGCTTGCCAAAAGATTCCTTTGCATCCCCAAAAAAATCCTTCACTTTGTCAAATGTGGTTTTGAGCTTGTCTTTTGTTGGTAGCTGAAAATTGAGTTCAGAATCGCAAACGATATTAGAGCAGAAGGTAATCAAACAAGCTTATAGAACAGAAGATTTGATTTCAACTGTAGTGTCTAGATACCACCAAATTTCCTATCAGAAGAAACGGAGCTCTCTAGTTCTTCAGGCCATGAAGCATGTGATCGGCTGAATGTCTAATACGGTAATACCTTATAATCTCATGAAAAAGACGATGGAGTAGGCGAATTACCTCAATTACATCCGAGGTAGAAAGTGCTGCTCTCATATTACCGTTTTCCTACACGATTGCCACAGAACAGACTTAGGCACCGAACAGTTTTAAGCATTTTAGTGGTGAGAAGAGAGTAAAATCATCTACAAATGAACTTTTACTTAATGTAGAGGTTATAAGAGCATTACGACAATTTTGTAGCCATATCTAAAATCAGTAGCTGACCGCAAAACTCGGTACTGCTTAAATGCTGTCTTCTGTATTTCCTTCTCATCCTGTTGAAATGAAAACGAAACAAGCATTTATACAATTGAGAATATGAAGCCGCTTGCGAAAAATGTTTTAATCACCATACAAAACGCATTTGGTTACTAAACGTAAAAGCAGAACATCCAGCAACGAGAGAATAAAGCCGCTCGAAAAATGTTTAACCACCATACAATTCGCATTTGGTTACTAGAAAAGCAGATCATGTCCCTAAGCCGCAATTAATCAACAATGTTGGACCATCTCCGCCACAAGGATTAATCAACATGTCCCTAACCCTCGATTAATCAACATATACCTAAACCGCGATTAATTAACATTTCTGTGTCCATACAGATTACAGAGAAGCATCCGAGCTTGCCTGTAATCTGTATGGACACAGAAATGTTGGACTCTCTTGACATGAACACAAAAACAGCTTGTTTAATAAGCCGCAACAAGCATGGAAAAAGTATATTTAGATTGAGCAAGTAACAAATTATATGCAACTAGATTATAAATTTAATAACAAAGAACAAAACTCACTCTGTAAATAACTGCAGCAAGATTTCTAGCAAGTGTATCTTTGTATATATATTTCCCCAGAAAGTTATCTTTTGCGGCAATCATGATTTTAGCCGTTGTACCACCTGATATCACACTAAGTGGGTACCATAGGTAAACCTGTCCAAGCAACAAACTTGTAAATTAAAAGAAACAGAGGAGAGAGAGCCAGGGGGAGACGGGGAGAGAGAGAACAAACATTGGCCATTCGGATAAAGACGACGAAACGAGGGTTGCCGTCGTCTTCAATCTTGGGCATGGCAGGAGGCGGAGGCTTCTTGGGTTGAAACTGGCGGGCCATCATTCCCCTTTTGCCCTTTGATTCAACCACCAGCGCGCGGCGGACCTGCCTTTGCTCAGCCGCTTTCTGAGTCGTCGTCTTTGTGGAAACCAATGAGTGCCTGACCAGACCATCTTCGTGGGTCCTCGAGCTTGACAACGGAAGCCGAACCGCTGCGTTTAGAGACAAACCCACCTCCATTTTTCACTTGGGTTTTCGCAGAGTCCTGGATTTCTCAGTGTGTGAGCCAGAAAAGGAAGCCCGTTGGGACTATCCGAGGAGGGACTCTTATCCACACGTCGTTATTTTGTACGAGAGAACGGAATTTTTGGTGAGATATACCAGAGAGTAGCTTGGAATGGGAACTGTTACACGCCAGCCGTACACGTGGCAGATCACGATGGAGCTGCTGATGGCTATGTATTGTTGGCCGTCTATTTTGCCACAATGGTCCATTGGAGACATGTGTTTGCGTCATAGCCTCAAACAATCATCTCACACTTACAATAAATGACTTCACTAGTAGCGTTCACGTACAATAATATATATTATGTTTTTTAACTTTAATCTTTCAAGAAAACTGAAATTTAAAATATATTGCATATTAATTATAGTTCATTGATGTGTTCTTAATTCAAAACAATCAATGTGTACTTTATTTAATGTCTTACCGAAATGTATTATAATGAATTTAATATATCTAAATAAAGAAGACAAAGTATATCGAAATTTATTGTATAACAAAAATTAGGTTATCTAAATGTTAACAACAAAATATATTATGATAAATAAAATGAAAATGAAATAAAATTAATACATTAAAATTAGGAAGAAAAAGAGAAATAATTAAAAAATCAAAATGTAATTAATAAATTAGGTTATTAATGCATCAAGGGACTAAAATTAGATTTTGACCTTACTCATATTTTTAATCTAAAAATCATTTTTACCAAGGATTAAAATGAAGTTTTCTAATAAATTTTTTATCACATAGCGTTGCTTTATTAGACCGTAATGTTACACGGGGATGAATAGTTATGTTTAGGTTACTAGAAATTTAGAATTAGCCCCCTTTTCCAAAAAAATAAAATAAAATCACTCTTACTTTGAAAGAAAAGAGAACTTTTTGTTGTAAAATAGACATGATTAATTCCACAACAAGTATTTAGAGAATCTGGCAGTAACATGATAAATTTCATAAACGTTATTCTTCTGTTGTTAGGCAAGGTTTTGTTGGAACAGACAACATCATTTCCAGCAAGAAGTTGCAATGATAGGTTTTGATTTCCATCCAAGAACCAAGCAACCCTTGTCTTCAACAACCGTGTAACCCTCACAAGCATTAGTTTCTAGCCATTTCACGGCCTGTGCCGTCGTCCTCAAAGGCGCCGGTTGGAACCCCGCACGCTTCATCCTACGGCGCCATTGATCAACCCTTTCGTGTCTCTCCACCCTGGCTGGTCCCTCGCAGCTTATGATGTTCTTAATCTCCTCCCCAAAATAAAACTGCTCCATTTTTACCCTCCTCGTGTCGTACTTGGGCAGCATTGCGTCTAAGGAGTCAAAGATGGCGGAGTAGTTATGCAGTGCCTCCATGAACCTCCCTAGAAAGAAAGGCCCGTTGTGGCTTGTGTCCTGCTCAACCAAAACCATAAGCTTTGGTGACAGCTCGTGAAGTGTTTGTAAAACTGAGTTCAATGTCCCTCTGCTCTCTTTTACCAAGCAATGAAGTTGAAGAATGCTATTGATGATCAAAATCTCCCCATCAACCAAATGGAAATCTTGGGGCTTAAGGTTCTCCAAGTTGCTCTCCACTGCTGAAAAGTCCAAATTTATTTTCATGCTTTGAGCATGCAGCTTGAGATCGTCGCCGATTACTTGAAGGCGTTCGGAAAAGCTACCAACTCCTGTGATACGAAGGCGGTGCAAGGGTTGTCCTGGACGGTTGGCTAGACGGTCTATTAAGTCCCGCCATTGGTACCCGTGCTGGAGGCCTAGGGTCATGCCTAAGTCTATGACATGGACTGAACTTCCTCCCTCAAAGGCTTCCAATATTGATGCGTTCGCTACGAAATGACCAAATTGGATCTGTGGGCAGATTTCATAAACAAGGTGTAAAGCCTCGTCCTTCTCTGCTGAAAAAGGCTTTGATTTCACGTTCGGGTCTGTTACTCCTCCGTCCCCGAGTGGTTTAACTAGCGCAAGGCGGTCTGCAAGGCCTTGGACAAAGCAGGAAGATACTCGCTGGAATGATGTCCCGAAGGCCTGCGCATTAGCTCTCAGCTCAAAAAGCAATGCTGATGCATGAGCTGTGTCACGAAAAGCCACAGCCTCGGCACAAGCAATGAGTCGTTGGACTAGTTTCATTTCATCTCCACTTCCTTCTCCTTCTCCGGATTCATCTTCCTTGCCTCTCATTAAGGTTGCAAAGGCTTCTTCCATGGCCTCTGCTGCCAAGTATCTCCGCGTGTGCGCTGATATGTGATCCCGGAATCGGATTGTTGGCAAGCTGGTCAAGCCACTAGTACACATATTGCTGTCACTGCCAGTGTAAAAACTATAGTAATCAGTACCCACTTTGAATCCAGAATTGGCATCATGTTCCTGTTTTAGCCTCTTATGATTTCTCGTTTTGTCGACGAATGGAATCACCCAGTTCGCCGAATCGTGCTCCAAAGCCGAAAGAGAAGGGTAGGGAAGGCATGACATGGATGACAGATTGAGATCAAAGCCAATCACCTCATTAGATGTATTCTTACCACAAAACTCAGGTTGCACATAGAGATCAGATGCCATCGTGTAGCTTTCTAATGTATTAGAAGCTTGACCAATTGAGTCTCCTTGCGGGGATATATATACAATGCGTGTGTATTTATGTGATGTGTAGGTTGAAGCTTCCTTCTTGTACGGACGACGATTACAATGTTGCCAAGAATTTAAAATAAGTCTACGAAAGTGAGTAAAAATTAATAAAGCAGTCTTAGTGCTAGAGATTTGTAACTTAAATGGTAAACTAAAAAGTATTAAGTCTTGCACCTGATGTCCCAAGTTCGACTCCTTTCTCCCCGAGTATCGCTTGTATCAAAATAAATAAAACAGGCTTTACTAATTCCAGCAGGCATAGCACAACGTATGCATAGACCAATCACTAATTAAGGAACTTACATTATTGCCATCATTTTCAAGGATCTCCCCAAGATTTGGGAGCTTTCTATCTTGTCTATGCCCACAGCTTAGGAGGTTTATCCATATGTGACTGTAATTTTCCCCAAATACAGAATTCTCCAATGCTACTTCCGGTTATAGAACTTATTCTTTTCGCCTCTTCCTTTGACCAAGTCCACCAGATCCTGACGTGGTTTAAAACAATACATATGGCCTGGAATAGTTAGCGCTCGAGCAGGGGTAAATTCTCTTAATCAATTAAGCTAATAGCCGACCCGCGTAGGTGATGCTGTCGTGGACAATTAGTTTATCCAGGGTCTAAAATGCATAAGAGCAAGAGAACATGTATAGGATATACCACCGGTATGGAGACAATCTTGGAACTAAATGGACTGCGGCCAACAACTCCAAAAGAACAAAACAAAATATGTTTGCAGGGTGCAATGCACGGCTCAATAAGGATCAGATATCTCAAAACTAATCTGATGAAAAATATGTTAAAAAAATTGGAGTGACATGATTTTGTACACAAAAAATGTTCTCCTTCGTTGTCCCGAAGCTGTTCAAATGCATGTTCATATGTGCTTCAATTTGAACAACTTCGGAACTTATCACATATTCACAATCAATAAGAAAACTCATGGCCTCTGAGTGATATATACTTCTTGACCCATATAGTGATATCCTCTGCACAAGCCTTGGCCTGGGGCTTCTCAAGGAGCACATCAAGAGTAGCAAACTCGTGCACAGTATCCTTGTAATCTAAAAGAGGTGCATCCACATTAGCCTTCCTCAATTCTTCAGAGTAAGCAATGCCACGATCGCGCATCCAATCATGCTGTGCCACAACTGTAAGTGTCGGAGGCATGTTCTTTAAGGGTGGCCCTCTCCCTGCAGGCATGAGGGGGTTGCCGGCGGGATGGTCTAGATCAAACTCTTCCTCTGTTAGAAATAGCTTCCATGCTAGCATACACGTAGCCTTGTCGAATAAGTAGGAGTTTGCTAGCTTAATCTCAGACCTGGTGGGACTGCTTCCAATGAAAAAGGGGTACATTAGTACTTGTGCTACCACCTTTATCGGGTCCAAGAGGTCGCCTGCCTCCACAGCGTTCCGAGCGACATAGTCTGCCAAGTTAGCTCCACAGCTCACTCCAAGAAGTACACATCTGTTCTGATAAGAAAATAACATGTTAATGTTCATTAGTTACTGAATTTATACAAAAGGTATACAAACTAAAAAGGGCTGAACATAATCAAAACACTAATCATTAAGCAAATCCATGTACTTTAAATTTTGGGAACCCTAACTGGTTAGTTCAAAATCCAAGAATATACACACAAAAACTATGCACAAATAGAACATGTTACAAATTTTAATTAAAAAGCATAAACATAAATTAACTAGATAATAGAAGACATTAAACCCTAATCTATATAAATCGCATTGTTATTTTAGTGTCACTAGTTCTACGTATACGATCTAAATACCCCACGACTTGAATTTTGTTGAGTGAACCACATAAACTCTTGCAAACCTTCTGTGATTCTTCCAATTTTAACCATCAACTTTATAATAAAAAATAGAATATACTAAACAATAATAAAGGAGCACTAAACCATAATTTATCTATTTCAATGAAAGTTTTGTACAGGGTCCATTTGTGCATATATGATATACCAACACTAATTATACTAATCCGGATACGGCTGATAGGCAGTAAGTACCTAGATGGATCTCCATGAGCAGCCAACCATGGCTCAACCATCGACGACCCAAAGCTGTCAAAGATACGACTCCGTCCGTTTTGAACCGAGGCCAAGTTGACCTGCTTCGCTACCCACTTCAACACCGTAACCCCATCCTCAAACGCCGCTGGGTACGGACTCTCCGGCGCCAGCCTATACCCCACCGCTACCACGATCGCGTCACACAGCTTCGCCATCCTCCTGCAGAACGCGTCGTTCCACGACGTGTCATTGCTCCCGCACACAAACCCACCTCCGTGAAACTGCAAAAATATCGGAACCTTCCGGTGTCGCCTCCCCACTAACTGATCGGGAGAATATCCCCTGTACATTACACCATCGTCCGAGTTAGAGCCGTCAGGGGAGGGAGACAACAGGGCGCGGACACGTGACGTGGGATTCGGTGCTTTGAGGGGGAGGACGGTGTCAGGTAAGAAGATGCGGAGGGAGAGGGAGGAGTTGGGGTAGATGTGGATGTTTTTGGTGGCGACGCCATTTTGGAAAGTGGGGTTGGCGGGAACGACGGGCTCTTCGGGCCGGGAAGTGATGCCAAATTTCGGGTCTGTGTTTTGGAGGTGCGCTGATTGGGTTAGGTTGTGCAATTGGTGTCTGAGATGGTACTTGAAGAACAAGCTGTGCAGCTTCAAACTGAGGGGTGGCATTTTTTTGGTTTACAGAGAAATTAAATTCACAAGAGAAAATCAAAAGACAGAAATCTCCTGGTTTCGGTATTAAATCTTCGATTTAAATTACCAAAATGAAGAAATCTTCAGTTTCCATTCGATTCAATTCAATTCAAAATGGCAGACGTAGAGACGTGTTGGAATAAGGCGGTCAGAGTAGAAGCTTCGAGTTTGAAATTGAGCGCCATCCTTGCAAGTTCGGATGAGGTGCCGTTAGAACACGTTTGTCGACAAACGTTAGTTTTTTATTTATTTTTTAATTTTATTTTTATAAAACGATAGTATTAGTGGTTGGATGTTAGATTAGGACAAAGTTCAAATGCACGCTATAATGCAAAGACACAACTCATTTCCACTACTGTAGTAAACGACCAATTGCAAAATACAAGATTAGACTTGTAAACGGACTAGATTTGGATCAGATCGGCCTAATTCATCATAATCATTTTGTTTATTAATCAGATTATTGAATATAAGGATTTTATTTATTTATTTTATTTTATTTTTTTGTGACAGAAGTTTAGGGGAGATTGGTTATTCTCATCCTTAGCGTCAGGACATACCCATAATCTCGAGCTGAGAGAACTTACGCGTGACACCTAATTGTCAGCTGATATTGGTATAGATTTACGTAGGAATTTACAAATCGATGACACACAAAATAGAGACCTTACTAACTGAGCCAACCTGATTGGCGTATATTCAAATTATTGAATTTAACTTGTCAATTGATATCTGTGAGAGTCAAGTTTGGATCGAATCAAATTATTATCGAGTTTATTTCAAGAAATAGGAAATATTCAAACCTTGCCGGTAACTTTGTTGTTTACTGTGTCTTTGATAAAAGTCAACAGTTTATTGATTGAGAAATTTAATAGTATATTTTGTGGGTTGGTTTGGATTGGCTTGGATTGAGATTTGGGTAATGGCTGGCTTGGATTGGCTTGAACTCATGCTTAAAGTTGGGTTTCATAATCCCACTTATCATGGGTTATCGATTTAATATCTTTTCGATCCATGATACACTTAATGTCACCAAAACAAGGGACAACATTCATGTCCATTTTTATTCTACTTATACCATCTAATCTAACCCGCCAAGGAAAGCCTACATAGACCCAGCTAAGAGCGAATTCCCATTATCATTTGGAGAATAAATTCACAATGTACCATAATCTAAAGAAGTGTCAATTACATTTTATACCCTCAAAAATCTTGGTAGAATTGCAACCTTATTCAATATTTTTAAAACATTTTAATCTCATACATTACATATTATTATTGTATTTCAATATCACACAATTGTTAATTAATTCGTTAAATTTGAAGATGTATGAGGTTGCAATTGCACTTAAACAAAATTTATCCACCTGCCATAGTATTGGCATCTCAATAAACAACTAAACCCCCAAAAATGAGGACCTTGATCAAGTAACATGGGTCCGACTTCGGTGCTACGTAGCACTGAACGCTACGACTGTTCATAAGCTCAACTTATTATCCTATGTCGGAACAAGTTAATAGGATCCCCTTTTTAACATTCTAGTATTATAATACTCTTTAAAGATCATCTCTGTAAAAAAATTAAAACTAAAGTTGTTTAGTTAATCAATTTTGTCCATATATTTTTGTATAGTACAATGACTAAATGACCTTAATTTTAATTGTTTTTTTTTTTTTTACAAAGATATAGTCTTTATAAAGTGATTTTATAATATGAACAATTCTAACCATAATTTAAGTAGCCAACGCCAATTATTTTTTTTTGTTCGATTTTGTTGGTACAATGCCTAATTGAATCGATTTCAATTTCAATGAACTAATTTAAAAAATCAACCAAACCCCATCTAAACAAACAAAGATCAAATATGTACCATAGTGGTTGTCTAGATCGATCTAGATTCTAGCCATTTGCATGCCTTGTTCTAATATCTATATAGAAAGCCACAAAATGCTTCAGATTAACAATATACACCATCTTGCAACCCAGCTGTATGAAGACCTTTTTGTGGACATGAGTCAACCCCGACAAGTTAGGAGAATAATTATTTATTAGAAATATAATTGTGTTTTCTAATTTAGTTAGGAGTCCTTTATTATTCCTTGTATCACAAGATATATTTCATATATAATGCTTCCTTGAGGGAGAAGAATAAGATAACGATTAAACCCTAAACACATACACTTTCATTTTGACATCAGAGCAGATTTCGCCTTGTCTCTTTCTCTAAACCCTATTCTTGTTCACTGCCGACTAGGGTGCTTCTCTGTTGGCTGTTTAGAGCTGCTTGGAATCAAGCACAGAAGTCTCGAAACAAGAGACCTCTGTTAAAATCCCAAACCCAGGTCTCGAAACAAGAGACCAGACCTCTGTTAAAACCCAAACCCAGAAAATTAAAACTGAAACCACAACTTGCT